ATTATTATTATTATATACATTTATAAACTGGAATCTATCAAATAAATACGATTGAAACTATTTTGGGTCTATAAATGTCCAGAAATCCTGAATTAAAATCAGGTTTCTTAAGTAAATGTTTAAAAAACCCTCTGATACGTAACCATTCAGATACCAATTAAGCAGATCCAAAAACAGCCCTCCTGCTCTGGCCCTGGAATGCATTTGATTCTGGTCACTGGAGTCCCTAGTGTCCCTTGTCGGACTATGGAGCTGCCATTGACCAGGGTCTGCTTCTCAGCGGGTGTGTCACTGAGCGAGGAAAATCAGTTTGAAACGTGAACGGGTCGGTGATGAAGTGGGGCCTTATCTTTAGCACTAGGCTTACTTCAGACCTTCAGCCAGCCGGCCTGGGGATCCGTCTGTTTGGGGTCTGCTGGAGGAGCGCTAACAGAAGCTCGTTCTGTGGCTCTGTGCTGCCGACGGGTACCTGGCTAACTAATGGTTTTTCAACAGCACGGAGTCGACGTTCAAGTTCAGACAGCCTCTCCTCTAAAGCTACCATAAGAATACATTTGTTGCATGTATCATTACCACTAAAGGAGAAAGATGAATGACTAAACATCTGACACACGGATCCAGAACAGAGGAAGCCAGGAAAAAAACAGAAGCCATGCTAAGCTAATGCTAGCAAGAGCTAACAGATCCCAAATGCACAGATAAAACACACCTATTGCAATCTGCTTTCAACATCATCCAGACAGATTTGTTCCGTCTCAAACTTGTTCTAAATGTTGACAAAACCAAAGGGATGCTTTTTTCAAACGGGAAGTTGGTCCCAGCAGTTCTTCCTCTGATTTTATCCTCAAATGGTGTCCCCATTGAGTTTGTTGATTCCTATAAATATTTGAGTATCTTGGTCGACTCACATCTCTCTTTTAAGCTCCATGTGGAAAACTTGGTAAAGAAACTGAAAGTTAAACTGGGTTTCTTTTTCAGAAACAGATCCTGTCTAACCCTGAACCCTGAGGAACGCCTTGTATCTGTGACTTTCCTTCCCTCCATTGATTATGGTGACATTATTTACATGAACGCTCCTACAAGAACCCTGCAGATGTTGGATGCTGCAGATGTTGGATGCTGTCTATCATGGTGCACTAAAATTCATAACTGGCTGTGATTATCGTACCCACCACTGCACCCAGTATTCACTGGTTAACTGGTCACCATTAACTTCACACAGACTCTCTCACTGGTACATTTTCATCTTTAAATCACTATTTAAAAAATTAAAAAAATTCTCAATTTGTGCAAATCCTTTATGATTGTCCACTGCTGTCATCACTCTTTGTTAAAGAAATCAGGTCTCTCTTGAGGCTCAATGGGATTAACCTGTAGAAAAAAGGTGGAACGAATAATTTAAATAAAAGCAAGTGTTGAAAGACAAAAGGTGTTTCAAGCACAATCCAACAGTAGAAAAACAACTGTGTTAAGGGTGTTTGTTCTAGAATGTAGAACTTTGCAAACGATGGATAAATCCCATAAAACAAGAGTCCTCAAGCGAACAGTTTACTCCAGCTACCAGCAGAGGAACCAGGAAGTGACACGATGCGTCTTATCGTGAACATCCCACGAAACAAGGCCCAGCATTTTTGATGCATTTAGTTTTCAGCTAGCATGCCTGTGCTGTTAGTTTCTGCCTTTTTGATTTTATTTTTAGCAAAAACAGCTAAATTTGGTCTTTTCAATAAATCTCAGTGAACTCAAGCAGCGTTTACTTTGCACTTCGTCTGGTTTAAAGTTACGAAGAAGAACGTTTGCGATGTTTTAAACCTCAGCTGCGTCTGAGCCTCCGATCCAGGCTGGCTTTGACTCGTGAGCGAACTGCAGGATGACACTCTGGAGTTGGTGGTATTCCTCCAAGGTGTGAACAGACGCAAGATTTCCCTTCATAGACAGACAGTTTTTCTGTAGCAGGACAAAAACAAAGGACAAACAAGCAGATTGATAAAAATGAGTAATATTTAAACGTCAACCGTTTTAGAGTTCACATTCAGAACAAACTGGTCGTGTTTCCGTTCAGTTTTACCTCAGCTTGAGTCCAAGTCAGAGGTCTTCCAATAAATCTAAAGCAGCGACCTGAGACTGAAGTCCAACTCTGGGGACAAGCTCTCCTTCTGCCCCATGTGGGCCTCCCTTTAAAACAAAATTAAATGAAATCAAACACCAAATAGCAAAACAAGTGTCACCAGTCGTCAAATATTCAGTCCTCTGCTGACCTGCTAACACAACATATATATATATATATATATATAAAACACTTTATATGCATTGTTTTTATCTTTACATGTATTGTTTTACTCCAGGACAAGATCAATTAAAAAATATCAATCATCTCCAAACATTAAGTCTGTCCGTTTGTCTTCCTGCAGCACATCAGAATCTTTTCTTCATCATGAAATCATAAAGCTCACACTCAGTACACGTTTAATGCCTCCTTTGTATAATAGCATCCATCAAATAGTTTAAATTTATAGATAGTTAAAAACTGGACGTGTAAATGCAGCATGTCTCATTTTTCACATTTAAAACACGAGCACTGACCAGAAGCTCTGCTCAGAAGCATCACGGCACACAGAAGCAGCAGCAGTCCCTTCATCCTCATCATCGGAGACAAACTGTCACGTTGGTTATCAGCCTTTGGAAAGACACAGACAGCAAACAGCAAACAACTTAGGAAAAACAATGATATACAATAAATATTCAATAGTTTTGACATTTCCATGCACCAAAAATATTTTTTTACATGATCACCCACAATAACTATGATAAGACCAGATGGTCTTTGTGCTAATGAGGTGTGCAAACTTCCTGATGGATGATCCATCCATCTGTCTGTCCTTCCATCCATCTGTCTGTCCTTCCATCCATCTGTCCATCATCCATCCATATGTCACAGATGGACAGATGGATGGATGGATGATGGATGATGGACAGATGGATGGATGGATGATGGACAGATGAATGGATGGATGATGGATGATGAACAGATGGATGGATGGATGATGGATGATGAACAAATGGATGGATGGATGATGGACAGATGGATGGATGGATGATGGACAGATGGATGGATGTCAGTTTTATTTAACAACAACATTTAAAAAACATTGTTGACTAAAGTCGTTCACTAAAATCAAACTGAACCATGAAAACAACAAGTTCAACATTCAGATGCAGCTCGAGCTGAACTAGAATTAAAAACCTGAGTAAAAGGAGTTTCCAGGCAGGATGTCAAAGCGTGGACAGAACGCGCATCAGGAGGCAGGTTGCTCTGTGGAGCTGCCGGTGCAAACGCCCCATCCCCTCGGTGCTTTAGCCTTTAGCATATTAGCTGCACTAAGAGCTTCAGACCGGAGGATCTCAGTGAGTTGTCCGGGTTATGAAAGTTGTCATAAATAACTGGGAGCTATTCTTTTTAAATTATTAAAGTCAGTTAAAAAATCTTAAAATTAATTTGATAATGAAAAGGCAGCCAGTGCACATCTGCTAAAACAGGAGGGTAATTGTTGATTATAGTAACGTCTCGTCACTACTGCAGTATGACAGGACACATGTGACGCTGTGCCACCGTGTCAACTCTCACCTGTTCCACACCACACCTGTTAAAGACCTGCTCAGTGCTGGTTCCCACTCAGCCCAGTTTATGGGACCACCTTGTCCCTGGTTCCAAGGTGACGATGTGACGTAATCAGACAGCAGCCAGTGGTCAGCTGGCAGAGCCACATCACTGGATGCCCCCCCCCCCCCCCAGCAGAACGGTAAAAACACATCTGGACCTCCACTTCCTCATGGTGTTGACGGACGGCGCCACAAGAAATGAACATTTACTGAGAGATATCAGAGATGATGGCAGCATGGCTGCACCCAGAGCAGTGCCGGGAAAACTAAAGAACTGTAGTCAGATTACAGGGAGATTAAGGACCACAACGGACCGAGTGGCTCGAACACAATGACCTGTTACGATCCCGTACGCTTTGGATTGTCGATCCCGCCTGCAGAGCAGGGAAACAAGTTATGGTGTGAACTCACCTCCACCTGAGAAGAACCGATAAGACGAGAGCCGCGTGGAGCTGAACTCATCAATGGCAAAACAGCTAAAGGTTCTGATGTAGAAAGTGACTGCAGCACAAACACGTGTGTGATCTGTTGCTGTGACCGCTGGTTCCTTTGATGCCCTTTGAGGTCCAAGACCTGAGTCTACAACAACATTTAATTAAATAATTATATTTAGTCTTTTCAAGAGTTTATGTCCCTGGAACCCATTTTTCAACCAAAGGTTGTTCCAGTGTGGACACAAGACTGGAATGATAAACAAATAAAGCTTGTGCCTCCAGAAAAAGTGTTCCCGTGTGGACTCGGGCCTCAGGACGGACCAAACAGAAAACAGTTTGAGGAGATCTTGTAGACAACTTACTGCGGAGTGAGCCCCTTCTCGTCGGCTCGCCGTCAGCCCGTAGCGTCGGACTCACGACAAAGTCTGGCCACTTTTATACAGTTTTTATCTTTACATCTCCACAAAATGAGGAACGTCTTTGAATAAATTGAAATGAACTGTAGCCCTGTTCACCCTGTCCACGTGTCGATGCCACGTTTCACAGATTTTAACACGATACCAAACCAACCTTCAGGAGGAGATGAGAGGGTGTCGACAGGACCAGATGTTACTTAGAAGGTTTACTAATTATTTAAACGTTGTAGTCATTTTAGAAAAACTCGTGATTCACAGTATTGAAAAAGAAAGTCCATCCATCCATCCATCCATCCATCCATCCATCCTTTATCTTCTGCTTGTTTGGGGGCAGCATCTTGAGCAGGGAGGTCCAGACATCTCTCTCCACAGCCACCTTTTCTGGGAGGACTCCAAGATGTTCCCAGACCAACAGAGAGACAGTCTCTCCAACTTGTCCTGGAACTTCCTTGGTGTCTCCTCCCTGTCGGTCATGCCTGAAGCACCTCCCTAGGGAGGCGCCCAGGAAACATCCTTACCAGATGCCCAAATCACCTCAACTGGCTCCTCTTGATGTGGAGGAGCAGAGGTTCTCCTCTGAGTCT